GAGTAATAGCAAGTACGTCAAGTATTTACTCTCTCAACGCCAAGTAGTGTATGTATGCGGAAAAAAAGTAACAATGTGTTGGGAGTAGAGTACAATGCAAGGAGTACTTATTGAATGAAATGCGGCAAATACAATTGCGCTGGACTCTAATGTACATACATATATACAAATGTATCTTATCGTTTGCCGAACCTTACTTGACAACAAAAGTAAGCGCCGCCGCTTTAATTACCACTTTGCCGGCTTGTTGATTGAAATTATTTACAACTATAATATCACTTTAATCAATAAGTAACTAGTTGTTAATTTTATCAACCTAAAATCGGAAGAGTTTTACGTAATAAAGTTCATGCGGCCGTCGCCCCGTAAATTTGTTGACAGTTTAAATTCATGCAAAGTTTCTATATTTAATAGATATTGTGACGTTGATAATTAGTAACGTTTTTGCAAGATTGTCTAGAATACTATCTTTTATTCTCCGACTGTTTCTACGTACTCATAGTTTTGTGTTAACGCTTACATAATTTCTTAAGGTAAAATTCTTAAAATGACCAAAAATGAATCTTCATTTACACCTCTATAGCCTTAGTAAATACGTATTTGGTGCTAAAATGTTTCTCTACGTTTTACGAATCTATTTAGTTTGTGGTGTGCGTCTTGATACTTTCACTCAACAAGAGCGATCTACTGAATTGCTGCTCCCTTCGAATGGCAAATGGCGTTTTATAGGAAGTTTTATCATGCCAGACAGCTGTACTACCACTCCGTACGAGCTAGGTTCAGTTCCTGGTGCGAGAAACATAAACAAAATTTGTTTTTTTCTAATTGCGGCCGCCCCTCGCTCGCATTTCTGCATTGAAAAGGTTTCTCTTAAAATCCATTTGCCGTTCGGAGGCGGCGTAAAACTGTAGGTCCCTCCATTTTTGTAACAGCATCAAGATGCACAACATAAAACTTAGCAAAAGTATAAGCGCGAAATATTATTTTCAACCGACTTAAAAATAAATACCATAATAAAATATTATAAAGTAAAGTCTTTGTCTCAATTCGTCGGCCATAAATTTTTACATTTGCAAGTAATTTTAAATTATGTATATACAATTTAACGGTACTATTCCTACGTTAATGACAAATCAATTTATTAATTAACTACTGCGCCTCAAACTTTGACGCCAAATAAAAGCATTATTTTGTCATTGCCACTTACAGCCCTATTCGCACATCATTGACAGAATTCATCGTATGACTATTGCCAGAATTACTGCGCCTAAAACACAATATAAGCATTGATTCGTCGTTGTCGCGAACTCAGTAGGTCATAACAATAACAATGACAATTGTCGCCTTTAGACAATTGTCACCTTTATACCATGAGTTCTGTCATTGGCATAACTGTCAATGGTTTAATCTTACTGGTAGACGAGACAATTAGTTTATGATTCAATGTAGGATTGTGGATAATATATCGGTACATACATTCATATTTGAAAATAGTATTACTAAAGTTTTTTACGAATAAAATTCTGATAGATTTTTGAATTTTTTTCTTAACTATTACTGAACCAGGATTCTTAAATATCACTGTGAAATTTCAAATGTGTTTTTAGTGCGATACATCGATATATTGATATTTCAAAAACGATATCGATACGACGATTTATTCAATTTCGCCATTTCGATATATCGATAGTGATATTTTTGAAAATATCAAGCCTAATTCAATGATCCAATAATAAAATAATTTCTCAGAAAACAGTTTTCCCGCTCCCTCTTGGCAAAATCGGCTGCTTTTTGGAAAACTGATAGTATCATTTTGAGCTTAAGAAGGCGATTATTTAGTGCGAGATGAACGCGAACGTATAAAACCTTTGTTTATTCCAATGTAACTATAGTTTCGAAACGCAGAATATGTAAATAAAAACTTCCAGTGTCAGCTAGCTTCAGGATCCTAGAGGAAGTTAAGGATCTCTTAGATTGTCGTTTATAATTACTTAAAGAGAGTTTACAGTTATCCACAAACCTTGATGTTGTGTTGTGCGCTGTCGTTCAAATTTCGCATAGATCTCTACTGGCAATAAAGTTGGATATATGACCGTTGGTGTAAACTTTCCGGGCCCCATTATTGCCGTCAACGAACATGAATTCTTCAGTATACCAACGTTGTGAATTCGACAGCGAAATCGTCAAAGAATGGCTTTAAACCCACAAAAGACCCAGAAGGTATCTACTAATTATAATCGCCATGCTTCCATCGCAAGACCATCCAACAAACCAACGAGGCTGGAAGAAGTGTGCTTGGGATGATTTTCAGCGCTTCCGTTGTGTAAAGCTACCACAGGCACTGAATATATTATTAGCCTCGTTGGTAACCGCTGTGAAATGTGAGCTACAATTTAGTCTTTTGTCTAGGGTTACTCCTAGGAGCTTCGCTTCGTGCGATAACTTAATCTCCGCTAAACTTCTAACAAACTAATCTTTTTAGGTGATAGGTTCGGTAGTTGTATCTTAAGCTAATGCGAATTGGCAGGATTTGAAATTCAAATTATCCCGCAGATAAACCAAAAACAGCCAATATCATATAAGGCAAATGCCGAAAGAGCCGTGAACTTCAATAAAAACTTCCCCGATATCGTTTTCGTTTCATGTACTTCAAACGTGATCTTTCTTCGCCAAGATCGAGACGAATGTTATACCTGTTTGCCAAAGATATTTTTCCACAGTTCGCTTATAATCTAAACATGGTCTTTTACAAGTTCAAATCTATAACTGCAGACATTATATGAATCACCAAGCTATTTTCTTCCACTAAAATAATTTTGACCCACCTCAAACATTACTTTTTAATCCCAACCCAATCTTTTCTGCTTGCAGACCCGCATAACCCACCAAGAAAGTCTCTTACGTTCTATGCAACAGGAGAATTATACGCTGAAACGTAGCATACGTCACTATGAGCGCTGTTTAGACGATGTTATGCGAAAAGTGGTGGACGCCATTGTCGCCGAAGATATACTCCGCGAGGAGGTCACCATGCTTAAGAATCGTGTACGCGACTTGGAAGCGCAAAACGCTGCGCTTTCAGCCAGTCCTGCCAAGGGACGCGACGAAGGTTATTGTACAATGAGCAGTGGGCAGCCGCAGCCGTCGAATGGGCATCTGGAAGATTTGCCAGAAGAGCCGGAGCAATGGCTGTTACCCGCCGAACCGTGTTCGACTGAAATGGAAGACTGGAGTATGTCGCAAGAGGAGTTGCCCGTAGTGACGCTGGACGATGAGCATCAAAACCTGCGCGGCGGGCGTTTGATAACAAACCTCCGGAGGCCAAACGGTGAAAATGATTGGATATGGAACTCGAATGATTTCCTAACTTCTACTACGGCGGAAACGGACTCTGAGTCAGAGGCGATCTCGCAATTGTTGCAACAAAAGGTGAATGAATATGCGTACATGCGTACGACAGGTTCACAAATCTTACACACTACTCTTTCTATTTCACAGATCGTTTACTCCGAAGATGAAGACATTGCGCGCACTGAGTTCACCAACGAGTTCTACAAGCTGGTCGATATACGTTCTGCCTCGGCGCGCAGTCTATTTTCCTACATAGAAGGCGAGACAGACGATGAGGATGACGACGATGAGGATGCAGCGTCCAGGCTGTCTGAACGACGCGTGCGCCTGCGCTGCAAGCCAACGCTAAATGGCAACAGACTGAAAGCGCCCAGCCCAACGCCAAGCGAAGCGGGACGTGCGCAAGTGACCAGCTGCTCATCCAGCGAATCAGACGAACACTCGCCTTGCACGGCGACGCAACACGAACTGAATAGCAGTGTAGTCGAAGGCAGCATCGAAGAGGAGATGGACACACAGTTGTGTGGCAACGAAAGCAGTGATATCGAAATCGAAGACATACAACTAGAACCAGAGGTGTTNTCCGACTGTTTCTACGTACTCATAGTTTTGTGTTAACGCTTACATAATTTCTTAAGGTAAAATTCTTAAAATGACCAAAAATGAATCTTCATTTACACCTCTATAGCCTTAGTAAATACGTATTTGGCGCTAAAATGTTTCCCTACGTTTTACGAATCTATTTAGTTTGTGGTGTGCGTCTTGATACTTTCACTCAAAAAGAGCGATCTACTGAATTACTGCTCCCTTTTATCATGCCAGACCGCTGTACTACCACTCCGTACGAGCTAGGATCAGTTCCTGGTGCGAGAAACATAAACAAAATTTGTTTTTTTCTAATTGCGGCCGCCCCTCGCTCGCATGTCTGCATTGAAAAGGTTTCTCTTAAAATCCATTTGCCGTTCGGAGGCGGCGTAAAACTGTAGGCCCCTCCATTTTTGTAACAACATCAAGATGCACAACATAAAACTTAAGCGCGAAATATTATTTTTTACCGACTTAAAAATAAATACCATAATAAAATATTATAAAGTAAAGGCTTTGTCTCAATTCGTCGGCCATAAATTTTTACATTTGCAAGTAATTTTAAATTATGTATATACAATGTAACGGTACTATTCCTACGTTAATGACAAATCAATTTATCAATTAACTACTGCGCCTCAAACTTTGACGCCGAATAAAAGCATTATTTTGTCATTGCCACTTACAGCCCTATTCGCACATCATTGACCGAATTCATCGTATGACTATTGCCAGAATTACTGCGCCTAAAACACAATTAGGGGATTCACAAGACGTGTTAACCGTCGTAAAATCTTAAGCTTAACACTTGTTTATGTAAAATAGCGGTTAAAATGGTTGGGGGTTGGCTAATTATATATTCTTTATCAGTTTAAAAGAATTTCGGTTTAGTTAGAAATCCCCTAAAACCATTTTAATTAAAAAAGATGTTAACCTTAAGATTTTACGACGGTTAACACGTCTTGTGAATCCCCTAAATATAAGCATTAATTCGTCGTTGTCGCGAACTCAGTAGTTCATAACAATAACAATGACAATTGTCGCCTTTGGACAATTGTTACCTTTATACCATGAGTTCTGTCATTGGCATAACGGTCAATGGTTTAATCTTACTGGTAGACGAGACAATTAGTTTATGATTCAATGTAGGATTGTGGATATTATATCGGTACATACATTCATATTTGAAAATATTACCTAAGTTTTTTACGATTAAAATTCTGATAGTTAGATTTTTGAATTTTTTTCTTAACTATTATTGAACCTGGTTTCTTAAATATCACTGTAAAATTTCAAATGTGTTTTTAGTGCGATACATCGATATATCGATATTTCAAAAACGATATCGATACGACGATTTATTCAATTTCGCCATTTCGATATATCGATAGTGATATTTTTGAAAATATCAAGCCTAATTCAATGATCCAATAATAAAATGATTTCTCAGAAAACAGTTTCCGCGCTCCCTCTTGGCAAAATCGCCTGCTTTTTGGAAAACTGATAGTATCATTTTGAGCTTAAGAAGGCGATTATTTAGTACGAGATGGACGCGAACGTATAAAACCTTTGTGTATTCCAATGTAACTATAGTTTCAAACCGCAGAATATGTAAATAAAAATGTTTATTCATGCGATTTGAAATATATTGTTATATGTTTGACACTTCAATCGCAGCCTAAAATGGTGCTGAATACGCCTTTCTAAATAATACATAAGCTTTTTAATGGGTTAGCATTAACATAATCGGTACGGCTAAGTCTTAGGGTGAGAACATAGTGGAGCGGCGAGCAAAGAACATCGAGCAAAGCGTCGATTTCAAACTTATATGTTTCAATGGGAAAGCGCATAGTGAAGAGCAAAGCGTACATACACATTTATAATTGAAGCTTTGCTCGATGCTAGCTCTTCGCTTTGTTCGCCGCTCCACTATGTTTTGACCCTTAGATGGATTTATATCATAAACTAATTTTTGTGAAAAATACAAACAGAGGGTACTGAATATTAGCCCTCGATATATGCTCTGGAGTTTCATCAAACAGCTAACAGAACCTACCGTCTTTCTCAAGAGAAAGTCACATTTTAAAAAGATGGCATCTTAACTTCCAGTGTCAGCTAGCTTCAGGATCCTAGAGGAAGTTAAGGATCTCTTAGATTGTCGTTTATAATTACTTAAAGAGAGTTTACAGTTATCCACAAACCTTGATGTTGTGTTGTGCGCTGTCGTTCAAATTTCGCATAGATCTCTACTGGCAATAAAGTTGGATATATGACCGTTGGTGTAAACTTTCCGGGTCCCATTATTGCCGTCAACGAACATGAATTCTTCAGTATACCAACGTTGTGAATTCGACAACGAGGCAGGATGAAGTGTGCTTGGGATGATTTTCAGCGCTTCCGTTGTGTAAAGCTACCACAGGCACTGAATATATTATTAGCCTCGTTGGTAACCGCTGTGAAATGTGAGCTACAATTTAGTCTTTTGTCTAGGGTTACTCCTAGGAGCTTCGCTTCGTGCGATAACTTAATCTCCGCTAAACTTC